TGACGGGATGAGTTCTGGTCGCGGTGAGGACAAGATGTTCATGGCCAACGATGCGGTTGCGGCGCATGGTTGTTTGGACCAGGGTGAGGGGCCTCGCGCGGAACCCCCCCAGCCCTCTCACGAATGGAGCACGCGCCCATAAAAACCCAGCCTGGCGTGGCCCCACGCCAGCCCCTTTGCCACCCTACCGTTGTTGGTCGGGGACCAGCGCACCACCGAGATGGGCCTGGTGTGTTCGCTGAGGCGTGCCACCCACGCCCCCAGACTTGCAGCCTGGGTCCAGTGAGTTGAGGGAGGAGAGGGCTCTGTGGAGCTACAGTACTAATGCAGGGGTGGCACGAGGCTGCCACGGCAGCGTCACGCCACCTCGCCTGCCTGCTCGCGTGGCCGATTGCATGCGGGTCCAGCCTCCCTGTGCCGCCACGTGGCGGCTTGGGCATGCAGGTGTCGGCGGCTTCGGTTCCGCCTGCAGGGTCCGACCATATTCTGCACCACACCCCCGACTGCCACGCCCAAGACACACCCCTCACCCTGACTCTTCCCCCCCTTTCCACGTCATCCCACCTGCAGGCTCCATACAACGACGGTGCTGTCCATGGAGCCGGAGGCCAGCAGCGTGTCGTCCCGAGAGACCGCCAGGTCTGTGATCTCGCCCGTGTGCCCCCTGCAACTGGCCTGGAGGAGGCAGGTGGTGGTGCTCCACAGTTTAACGAGGCAGTCGTCGGCGCCGGAGGCCAGGACCCGTCCCCCGGCGTCAAAGGCGGTGCAGTAGACAGCGCTCTGGTGCCCGCGCAGCGTCTTGAAGCGGCGGAAGGCCCAGGGCGTGAGGCACGAGGCCTCCGCCGCGCGCGGGTCCTGCGCCGCGCGGCTCTCGCCCGTCTCCCGCGCCAGCAGGCGCAGCCCCAGGGCCGGGTCGCGCTCGCCACGGGCCCACTGCCGCCGCCGGCGGTGGTCCAGGAGGTGGAAGGCGGCGGCCCGTGGTGGCGCGGGTGACGGCAGGCCCGGTGGCAGCAGGCTCAGCGGCGGCCGGTCGAGGAGCGACGTGATGCCGGAGCTGGTCAGGGCGGGCACGCGCATGCGGCTGAGGCCGTGCAGCGTGGACAGCGCGTGGGTCAGGAACTCGGCAGGGAGGTGGGCATGCCGGCGGCCCAGCTCCTCAAGGCTGGGGGTGTGCCGGTTCCCTGCGGCGAGCGGGGGCCGCATGGAGGGAGGGGTGGACGAGGGGTCGTACGACAGGCACGGATGCTTTTTCTGTAGTGTGCAGACGGTGCCCACCCTGAAGGGCGATGCCCGGGGGATGACAGGTGGGGTGTCAGCTCTACACCCCACTGCCTGGCACAGGCAGGCTACCCCTTCTCGACTGCCCTGTCCTCCCACACCTCACCCTGGAAGTCGTAGCGAACGGGGAGGAGGTTACGCTCCGCAGCCTCGCGCGCAAGCTGCTCCCCGATGTGGGGCAGGGGACCGTGCAGGAGGGCGTGCACGAGGATGTACATGACCTCCCTCTCGTCGACCTCGGCTTCAGCATCCAGCTCGGCGGAGGACGTGCTCCCAGAGCCCATTCCAACCATGGGGGCATCCCTGCCATTTACGCCCAAAGAGCTCGCACAGCGAAGCTGGGGTGCCAGGCGTTCGGAGGGCACCACATTGGCGGGATTCCGTTGCCCCGAGCTCATGCTGGTGTTCAAACGTGGACCAACATGGCGGGACGATCCATCTGATATCCGGTACCCCCTATAGACACTTGCTGCTCATCTGCCCTGATATTAAATAGCACGCGACGTGCTGCGTGGACGCGTGAGATCGGTATTGCGGAGTTAGTGTGTCGTTCCAGCTTTCCACTCTGGCTCCACAACTCTTCAGTCGGAGGCCCCAGGCTGCGATCCAGGCGCATAATTGGCAATCAGTAGGACACATGCATAGTTGGGTCGCGGCCATGCAGAGCTTCAGCCTCGTCAAGGCCAAAAGGGTGCCGCGCACCTTGCTACAGTGCGAGGACTCCGATGAGGAGCCGCAGCCAAGCACAGGGCCTGAAACAATTGTAAGAGTGACAAATAATTTTCGCAGATGTGTGTTGCCAACTCGTTCGATCTCCTAAGGGTGTCCCTGGACCGACCTCCGCCCCGGCGACCTCTGACGTGGCTCTCCTCCTGCCACGTCTGCAGGGAGCAGCAGTCGATCATCTGGCATTGGGGAATGAAGCAGCCGAGAAGGAAGAGTACTCCCTGGCCTTGCGGCACTGGGAGGAGGGTCTGCGAGAGGGCAGTGATGCCCCACACGTTCTCCATGAGCAGATGTCTCAGGTAGGATTCAAGCTCGGAGGTCATCGAAGGAGTTCCGAGCATATCTGCAGCAGTGGCTTTGCTGGGTGGAGCCGGAGGAGATCTGGCTCGATTCTGGCACGCCTCTTGGTTCCCAGAGCCGGGCTTTGGGCCACGGCCAATTCCGTCCGGCACCCTCCATATCCCAGGTTCTGATAGAGCTGGACAGACCTCTTCAAGCTGCAAAGCAAGCTGAACTGGCCGTCGAGGCCGCCCCGAAATGGGCCGAGGCGCACCTCACCCTGGGCAGGGCCCGGCTTTGCCTCCGGGACTGGCCCTTGGCTCGCGGATCCTTCGCGCAGGCTCTGCACTTCCAGCCAGATCATGCCATGGCCAAGATGGAGCTCGAAGAGCTTGATGCATTCATTGCACGGCAAGAAACCCGATTACGGCCAGGGCCCCTTCCCCCGTAAAGTGCAGTCTGCGTGCTGTGCGCTACGGATATAGAGAGCCGTAGGGCCAGGCAGGATGTACCAGGCCACTCAATTACTCCTGTATTAAGGATGATCAATGTTGGACATGTATTCAGTTGCGCTGGGCAGGCCGTCCATTGGCGATGGGCGAAGAGGCCAGCAGGGTTCCAGCTTGTGGTTTTGGATGTGGCATGGAAAAGCGCTGCACAGCAGCAATGAAGATACGCTTGAACATAGCTTTATTTCCCAGCCATGGCTCCATTAGATCAAGTACGAGCGAATTTAAATCACGGAAGCCATACCGGGAAGTGATCCGAGGCGGTGGCCAAGAAGCGCGCAAGCGCAAAGCCAAATGCCCCACTCCGTGCTCCCTGACAGGAAGCCAGGGTATTCCTGACTCCCTGCCGCCCGTCCAACCTTCCCAAAACATCATCGCATTGCAACAACCAATAATCACATCGATTTGCGAAGTGGGATTGGCGCCTCATGCCGGTCCTCGAGCTGGGCTGGCTCTAGGACTCCCCTTTCGAGCCCCCGGCTCCTCCCCCACGCCTGATGCATAACCAGCGCGCCGCCGCGCCCTGACCCACCCCGCCCCGCACCATGCATCCGGGGGCCATGTACGAGACCCTGGTCGACCAGCCCCCCGGCCCGGTGGTGCGGAGCCCCCTCGCACCCCCCCTCCGCCTCCTGCTCCGGGCTTTCAATATCCTTCTGGCAGGGGCCTCCCTGGCCCTATTACTCCTGGTCCTGCTAATCATCCTGCTCCCGCGACACAGCCTGCCCGCGCCAGGCCCCCTGCCCGAGGGCCATGCGGCCTCGAGACTGGGCCTCCTGGGCGCTCAGGCGGCGCTCCGCTCCTGGCCGGCCTGGGCCGGGACTGGGCTTGCCTTGCTGGGCCTTACCACTGCGATGGCCGGGCTGGCGGGGCTGGACCAGGACAAGCGGCGCTCCCTTTCCACCCACGTGGCCATGCTCGTGGCGCTGGTGCTCCTCCATGCCGGCGCCCTGATCCTGCTCTTCGTCGCTACCGACTGGCGAGGCAGGCTGCCGGGTGAGGGGTGTGGTGGGGGGTAGAGAGGAGCTGGAGGGGTGTTTGGGGGGATCAAATGAGGGGCAGAGGATGGTGTTGGTGTCACTGGAGGGGTGCAGCAGGCCTGCGCTTTCCTTGCATGTACCCCAGACATGACATCTTGCGGGTGCTGGCTGATTCAACCCCACCACCACCACCACCACCCCATCCCACCCTGCAGAGGACCCAGCAGGCCTCTGGCCAGCGGTGCTGCGGTACACCGCCCAACATGCGACTCGTGTCAAGTATTGCCTCATCGCCAGCATGCTGGCTCATGTCGTGGCCGCGCTCTGCGGCAGCGCCTTGCTGTCCATCTACCAGGTGGGGAGCAGGCTGGTCGGGTGGCAGGGCCAGATGCAGATGCTCGTGAATGGGTGAAAGGAGAGGACGTGGTCATCCCCTGTCAGGTGCTAGCGATGCGGTGACTTGATCACATATGCGAGGCTTTGCTGCACCCACCCGATGTCATCAAGAAGACAGCACGGTCCACGGCACCGTTCACATCCTGATGCAGACGGCGTACGAAGCGTGGCTGGACGACAACGAGGAGGCCGCCACGCGTACAAGGAAGCTGCTGGCCTCCAGAATGCAGCGGATGACAGCAGGTACCGTGGATGGGGCCATGAGCTGCAGGTTTGGTGATCGTGTTCAGCCCCGCGCTGACGTGTGTGGGCATGGCAGGCAGCCCTGCGGCATGCAGTGCGGACTGCCAGTCAAGCAGAGTCTGTTTGAGGCATGGACTACAGTGCAGCTGCCTATAATCGTCTTTGGGCCATGTGCTTGGTGAAGATCCCATCGTCCTTGCATCAGGGGCTGTCAGTCGCTTGCAGGGCACACCTCCCCCTCTGCATCAGGGGCTGTCAGTCGCTTGCAGGGCACACCTCCCCCTCTGCATCAGGGGCTGTCAGTCGCTTGCAGGGCACACCTCCCCCTCTGCACCACGACTGATGCCCATGCCCACATGCACCTCTCCCTCCGATCGCAGGGGGCGCAGGTACACCGTGGGCGCGGCACCTCAGCTCCAAGTATGCTATCGACAGCTGCGCCTGGGAGATGTCCGAGGATGCAGCCAGGAGGCTGTCCCTGCTGGCTCTATCCTGTCCGCGGTTGGGAGGGGAGGAGGGAGCTGTGTAATCAGCAATTCCTGGGATTGCATGGTGGATTGCAGGCGATTTACCCAACGATGAGAATGCACACTGTATCCCACCACTGTTGAGGGCTTTAACACTGGCTTGTGCATCGGCTCTGGGTGTTGGTATTCCAGTGGATCCTTACAACCCTGTTGTCATGTGCATGCGCCCAGCGGCTTGCACCACACCCTCTTTATCTGCCTTTGAAATTGTGAACAAGGAATAAGCTCTCTGATCAGGGTCTTGCAGGAGAGGTTTACCGTGGGCAGGGATGTCTCCTTAGCATGATTGCTCTTGGAGGATGATATATGATCCACATGGCGATCTCGTTGGCATAGGCTGGCGAGGGCTCTCAAGCCAATGCAATTTCAACTTTGGTTCCTAAACACATGCTGCCCTGGCTCATCATAATGAACAGGCCATTGTGGCCCCGTGCCCTTTGCAAATGTGTGAGCCAATTCCAGGGGCTTTCACCACAGCCAGTGGATGGTGCAGCATATAGCTGATCCAGCACATAACATAGTCGTCAGCAAGGGTTTGGAGCCTCAAGGCCAATCCAGGAGGCGCAGGAGTGTGATGCTGCGCTTATCTACTTGTCTCTGCCTTGCCATGAGTGGCTGCAGATGGTATGTAAAAGGATGGGACTATACCATGCTGCGACAGGCAGCCAGGAGGAAGGGTGCGGACATCATGCAGCTCACCTTGCCGGGCCGGGTTGGCACCGGCTTGTCCGCACCAACACTGTGATGAGTGACTGCTCCCGCTCAATACAAAGCAGGGCAATGTCTGCTCGCACAAGGCGATGTTCCTCACGGGGGCTTGTCAGATGATGCTGCCATGGTGGTGCACAAGCTTCCAGCCGCTGCCTTCCCTCTGGAAGATGTTGGTGGCGAGCACACGTCCCGTGCGAGACCCTGCCTTGGTAGCCTCCAGGCAGGTGACCCAGCCAATGCTGTGGAGAGTGGGAATGGGGTGGCGAGGTATGGCCAAGAGGACTTCAGAAAGAATTTTGAAGGTGTGGCTCGAGAGCCCAGCAACATTCCTTGCCCAACTTTCTAAGCGCACCCATTGAGAAGCACGAAAACCAATCACCAGGAACCCACGAGCGCAGCCTACGTGTCGGTGGCAGCGGCCCTGACGTTGTGGATGGTGATGTCCAGGGCTCCCCCCTCCAGAATCAGCTGCCAGCTGGACAGGACCTGGTCCCTGCCCGCGATGCAGCCGGCCACGGGGTGGATGACCTGCACGCTCTCCGACTTGCCCCACACCGCCTCCATCGCCGGCAGGTCGGCGTCTCCAAACGCCTTGTAGAAGGCTGCGTTGGCTTGCAGGACGCCGCTCAGGTTCCCTTCCCGCTGCTCCCTGCAATGGGGAGGGTGGTATGCGGGCGACTAACCCCCTTTGCAAGGAGGAGTCCTGCATGCGAGCGAGTGGGTGGACTCCTCGCCATCCCCATCATGGTCCTCACCGCAGCTTATCCCTGAGGACTGCGGCCTGTTCGTAGTCCTCTCTGAGGATGGCGGCATCCAATTCACGCTCCAGGGGGCCCAGACCGCCACCCTCCTGATGGAGGGCCCTGAGGGGGGTGGGCAGGTATGGCGCAGGGTGGGAGGGGGTTGCACCCGAGCATTGACATGATCGGCATGGATTGTCGGCCGAAACCAATAATGTAATCTCTCCATTGCACCGGATTCCATGCTGCCACAGGTCTAAAGCATCCTCATTTCCTGGACCCATCCTCACCTGGGCACCAACCGCAATCGCCAAGTCGGGACGCATGGCCGGAATGCACATGGCCGACAGACTGCCCATCGATGCGTGTTCAAGCTGGTGAATGAGGGTGCATCACCAGATGCATTGGGTCGCAAGCCTCTCATCCTCAGCTCCATTTCGACGACGCTTCCGTCACGCAGAAGAGATGCCAGTGATGGACCGAAACGGGCGCACCGGGCAGCTCAGGCTACCTAATCTCCAGGCAAAATGCATTATTAATGCATTTGCCCCCTGCATAAGACGCCGAGCTCGACTTTTCGTTGCGCAGGGGTGGTGCGCCCTGCCGAGTTGGATTCCGCGCCCGGAGCCATCGGACCTTGCGCGCCCCCTCGACACCCTGAAAGCGCGCCAGGCCATCATGCAGTCGACCCAGTATGTCTTTCTGATCTTCGCATCATCCTTGAAGCTCAGCGGGTGTGATTTTTCCGGTCCGCACGCCTTGCACGGGACCCCAACGGCTCGCCCCCAAGAATGTCGGAGTCGTCGCTCACTGCCCCCTTGCATGAACTCCTGCGCACGACTCGGCTCTCCAGTCTCTTGAAAGATCGGGAGGTGGTGTCACTGGATGCCGATTGCACCGTGGACGAGGCGCTGCGCACGCTGTCGGAGCACCGCCTGCTCGCGGCCCCCCTCAGGCTGGATGAGGCGACCGCCAAGTCTGAGAGCCTGACGGGCTCCCCGACCCCCACCGTCTTCCTGGACATCCGCGACATCCTTTCCAGTTTCATGCATGGTGTGTGGAGTGAGATGGCTGCCTGCAGGGCCGAGGGTGTTGGTGGGGGACGAGTGTGGGTTGAGGCGGCCAAAGGGACACGCCACGCGCCCTGCGGCAAGCTGCGCTGCAGGGCGCCCTGCTTCGTTGGTTCATACCTTTTCCCCTGCTTGGTAGCAGCATTCCCGCTCTTCACTTCCTTCACTGGAAAAGCATGCCCTGGACGACCCCGCCTTGTCACCCCTCATGCCACCTCCCCGACTTCAGCCTCCCCTCGCCGAGTCATTTGACCCCTTTCTAATGATACTCTGCTCGCAGATCTGGGCGACGAGCTGCTGCGGGAGACTCCGGCCATGCTGACGCGCATGCGCCGGCTGGAGGAGCGGGGGCTGGCCTTCGCCGAGCAGCCCGTGCGGCGCCTGCACACCATCGGCGGCGACGGCCTGCTCCTGGACGCGGCCGCCGCCCCGGATCTGACCCTGGACGCCGCCCTGCGCGAGGGGTTCCTCAAGGGCGAGGTCTCCGGTGCGCGCGCGCCGGACGCCGGCGCGGCGCCCCCGCCCGGCGCCGCGCAGCCCCCGGCGCGCTCCGTCACGCATCGCCTAGGACTGGCGGACTCGCGGGGTCGGGTGGTGGGCATTCTGAGCCAGACGGACGTGGTGCGGTGGCTGGCGGGCGCGCTGCGCGACTTCCCCGCGCTGGCCGGCGCCAGCGTTGCCTCGCTGGGCCTGGGGGCGCGGCGCGTGGAGGGCGTGGGCGCCGAGACCCCGGCACTGGATGCGCTGGCCGCCATGCGCGCCGCGCGCGTCTCGGCGCTGGCGGTGCTGGGCGAGGACGGCGCGCTCATCGGCAACTTCTCCGTCTCCGACCTGCGCTCCATCCTGGCAGAGCACTTTGGGTCGCTGGCGCTGCCGGTGGGCGAGTTCTTGG